ACTTCTCAAAGCTCTCATCTGTACAGCATTTATCTTACTTTCATGCTTCTTCTGCCATACCCACGATTCGCTTCCATACATGAGTGTTGGTGTCAGTACTCCTTGAATTATAGCAAGGCGAGCTTTGCTCGATACATTTTTACTTGACATAATCGAGAGCAGTGCACCGTTAACACTGTTTCCCGCTTTAACTCTCCTCTCAATATCTCTTTCACACTTCCCATCCCTCGTAAACAAAGAACCTAAATATAGAAACTCACTCACTTGCTCCACTTTTTCATCTCCTATCATAATCTGGCATGCCGTTAAACTTTCATTCCTCTCAAAAACCATTACCTTCGTCTTCTTCGCATTTATTTTCATACCTTTTCTTGCATACGCTTCATTCATTATAGTCACCATTTGTTGTAATTCATACTCCGACGATGCAAAAAGTACTTGGTCGTCGGCGTATAAAAGAGTCTTAAACAGAGACTCATTCATCCTGAATCCACAATTAGATCCTTTCAAATCGGTCAAGCAACTGTCCATAAATAGGTTGAACAGCCAAGGAGACGCTACACAGCCCTGTCTAACACCGCGTTCAATGCCAAACCAGTCTGTATAGACTCCATTTATTCTGACACAGGCATTTGAATCCTTATATAAAGATTTGAATGCCCGTATCAAATGGCTGCTCACCCCATACATTGCCAGTGTTGACCACAGTTCCTTCCTCTCCACTCTATCATAAGCCTTTTCAAGGTCAATGAAGGCGCAGAAAACCTTCTGATGTTGAGCTAAGGTTTTCTCTGTTATGCACCTTAAGGAAAAGACTTGATCCGTACATCCCATACCCTTTCGAAACCCTGCTTGCACATCCCAAATTTTACTTTCCGTCTCATTCATCACTCTTTTAATCAAAATCCTAGCATACAATTTGCCTACAACACTAAGAAGGCTTATTCCGCGGAAATTTTTGCACTCCTGCTGTGACCCGCTGCCTTTATATAGTGGCACAATAACAGGGGAAGATGTTATTATGCAAATCGCATGTGATGACTAAAATATAACTGTTTAACTTTGTATTCAAAAGATGTAGGAATTATAGATACGAGTATGCCATTTGCATAATATATATGGCTGTGTAATCCCGGCATAGAGTAGACCACCCCTTCCTTTACAATACCCAGAGGGAGACTTTGTACAAAAGCCGATTGCTTGGGTACCTCTGTTCCAGTCGTGTTTCAACCGTGAAGCAGCTGTGTGTGCATGGCTGTGTTTCGGTTTGAAGGGTGGGATATGGCGTGAATTTACTGGGTACAGAGGAATAACACCTGAGTACTCAGGAATGGCAACGCATGGGGGTATCATGGGGGAAACAGTATAGTTTATTATGTCCATGGTACTGCTCATGTATATAGGCGACGGTTACCACTTTCCATCAGGTGGACCGTCAGCTTTGTTTGTCATTCTAAGTTGTATAAAAAAAAGCACCCACAGAGGATGTCATAAGAGGCGACTAAAAAACTTAATGGTCGAAGGATGGGCAGCGGCGTTCGTCTTGAAACATCATCAAAGCCTTATTGCGGTTTTTTTTTTGATGGGTGAAAATGGTATGATAACCCGCGATAATGGTATTGCGACGTTGCCACATTTCAGCAAGTTAAAATATGAACGCTTTGAAAGTTACGTTTCATACTTGCAATTTATATATATGATATTATATATATTATGATGGTATGCTATCAGCCATCAAGTATCCACTGCTGAACATAGGCCTCCCCTTTGGGGGATATGTCAGTAGCTGCGACGCTTGGTAGGCGGATTAGCAACCGCAGTAAGGCGGAAGGAAAGGGATTGTTAGTAATGGAGACTGAGAATCTCATTGCTAGCAATATACCCAACCAGGTCCACCTCCCCGCGGTTCCCCCTGGAAATTATCATGGTTAATTCCTGATGAATTTATCATGATGGGCTAACTGGCCTGTTTTCATTCTCATCTATCACCCTTCACTGGTGCTCCGCCAGCGTATCCCGTTAGCGCAGGCGGGGTTACCATACCATTTTCGACCATAAAAAAAAACATGTAACTACCTAATTATAATAAAACGTTGCGCATATAAAAGCCCTTTGTAGGTCAACGACCTTCGGTTGATATAATAAAATATTGATTTATTGGTACAGAGAGCAGAAAAAATATTAAATGAATGTTTTATTATTAAAAACTTTTTTTTTTTAATATTTTTAGTCTTTGACGTAGAATGATGTAGAATGAGTTATATTTTACAAATATTGTATTAGGTACATACATACATTTAGTACACATGTAAAATGTATTGTAAATAAATTTTATAGAATGTAAGAGATGCGTCATTTGACGTGTTGTTTTAAAAGACTTAGTATTTTAGCGGAGTAAATAAAAAAATAAAAAAAAAATAATTAGGTAATTTAACACAAGGCAGATTGGATTCCTATAAATCTAAAAATTGTTGCCGTCTCAATGTAAGTGGGAAACCATTAAACTCGTGAGGACGATTACAAGGACCGGCCATTTTTCCGCAAACCGTTTCCCTTTGTCAGCTAACAAAGAAATTGCCACATTGACGAATGTAGCCAGTTCCTATCAATTGTCTTCTGAACTACCAAATTGAGGTATTAATTTTGTATGCCGTAGTGTGTGTGTGTGTAGGGGTTGTTTTATGCGTCGGTATTTTAGACGTAAATTGAATGGATATCAAAGATTTTAGTTTTTTGATATGCAATACAAAGCTTTAACAATATATGAAATTTAAATGAGTGAGACATAAGTACATTGGGTACTTCTGTCTCTCTCGTGTTGCATGTGTGTTTGATTGAGGAGATGTACTTGCATGGTTTTATTTCAGTTTGAAGGAATATGGTAGGGAAATTATAAGCATAATACCATACTTCTTAGGCGTGACAACGCCGGGTTACCATGAGTATATACTCTGTAATGTTTATGGTGCTGCTCATGTCTGTAGGTAACAATTACTATTATCCACTAAATAGACAGTCTGCTAGTTTTTTTTTATTTTAAATTAGATAAATAAATAAAAAAACATGAAAGCGATAAGCTCGTTTCGACTGGCAAAATATGGAATATACCACATAGGAGCGTCCATAGAGGATCTCTTCTACGAATCATATGTCCTTGATGAAGGTTAACAGGAAGATATCATCATCATAGCATGATATAAATTACAAACATTGCGTTTTACCAAATAACTAGAGTACTTAAATAACTTAAATAACATACAAGTATATAATCTTCTGAAAATACTTTATAAACAAGTTGCGATAACTGTTTTTTAAGAAAAAAATATGAAATACATAATTTTTTTCTGCATTCTGTACTAGCACGGGTAAAGTACTTTGCGAGTAAAAATTTACTACGCTAAATGAGGGTCGATGACCTACATGGGACCTTTGATGTACACGACTTTTTTTGGCAATCTGCAAGTGTATAATCACAGTTCAAAGAACTGGGAGAATTTAGGTGTTTTTAGTGTGTCTATTATGAGTTATGCCAGGTGAGGATCAAGTCATTTGGGTCATAGTCATGAATTTATAAGAATTTTCCACGATAATTTTTAGAGGTACAGCATGTATTTTTTCAAATTGAAAATAATGGGATGGTAGAAATTAGTAACTTAACAGCTAGAAATACACTTCGTCAGGTCGACCTCCTCGCAGTTACCATTGGAAACAATAGTGCTTAGTTCTATGTGAATTCATCACGATGGTCTACCTGACCTGCCTTTTCATCCTCACCTATCATCCCTCACTGATACCCCGCTAGCAAATACTGTTAGCGCAGGTGAGGGTACTATTTCATTGTCATCCATTAAAAAAAGGAAAAAGAATAGACTTTTTAAAAACTTTATTAGTTACCATTTTAAAATTAAAGTTGAAATAAAATTAAAATATTTGGTGCAAGACATAATTGGATTGTAATTTGTACCACCTACGAATCGGACTTCATAAGCTAAACTGTTTGCGATACGCTCCAAAAACTTCGATTTGTTATTCAAATGAAGCTTAAATACCGACTGTTGAATAAACTTTGTTTTCCGTCAACAATGGAGTTTGTTTAGATTTTCTTTAAAGTAAGAATTAATGTTTGATGGCGACTATGAGTTTTGTTTATGTTCTAAGTCAACTGTTGACATTAGACTTTTCCATTACTTGTTCTAAACAAGTTATTTAAATATTCGTCAGAAATAAGTGCAATGACTTCAATATTACAAATGAAATATTATCCAACTGTTAAATAAATAAGATCATAAAGGTTTTCGAATTTCGAATCGAAATTTATTTATTTATTTAAATTTTATTGATCAATAAAATGTGGTACAAAAGGTGGACTTAATGCCATAAGCATTCTCTACCAGTCAACATTTAGGGACATTTAGGACCATTGAGGTGGTAAACAAGCATACAACCCATCTGATGGTAAGCAGTTACCGTAGCCTATAAACGCCTGCAATACCAGAGGTATTACGCGCGCGTTGCTGACCCTGAAGAAACCTCTTTACCCCCCTTTTGAAGAAATTTAATTTTTATGATAAATTAAATGCCTACCCCGGGTGCATTAATGAACAAAATGTGAGCAGATCTTACCTTTTACTCATTCATTTCTGTATATGGAGATTTTCCAACTTAATTTTTTTCATTTTTGGACATTATTTTTCAAAGATTTTTCTTATATATGAACCTTGTTCTTTTAATTACAAACACAACAATAAGCAGACAATCGCATGCAGACATTTTGAAATGAAACACTTCAATTGGGCAATTGATTTTTATTTATATAAATATTTAATTCTATTTATGACTTTTTCTATGATTATTACTTACATTCTTGCCCGTTACAAGTGTATTTTTTGTATGGGACTATGTATGAATATTGATTCATTTTTATCAATGATTTGGTATAGCATCGTTTTCTCTTCTATTTATTATTATCACTTAATTAATATTAATATTTTTTTCCCCAGTGTTCGACGCATCAGCCAAATCCCCCCAGGGCTTGCTGTTCGGATCTTCATTTCACCTGGGCAACTTCGACGAATGCCTTGCAATAGAAGACCAAGTTGATGACGGGACGGTGGTTTATGGACAGTATTGTTTGGCCAATATTAAATGGCGGAGATCTGAGGCACACAAAAAGGTATGTTTTTTAACAGATTAAAACGGAACAGTAATCTCGCTTGTGTTATTTGTATATGCTGATGAGTAATAGTTTTTTTATGGGTGAAATAAAAATGAAATGGTTATTTGTTTAGAATTATTTTATTTAATTCCGCTACCAATAGTATGTGTGTGACTGCCAATACTTGAAGATTGACTACCATCAATACTATCATAAGTTTTACAATATTCCATTTTAATCCTCAGTCTCCAAATTTTTTTTTTATACAACTTAGAATGGCAAACAAGCTGACGGCCCACCTGATGGAAAGTGGTAACCACCGCCTATAGACATAAGCAGTACCATGGACATAACAGAGTATACTGTTTCGCTCATGATACCCCCATGCGTTGCCATTCCTGAGGACTCAGGTGTTATTCCTCTGTACCCAGTAAATTCACGCCATATCCCACCCTTCAAACCGAAACACAGCAATGCAAACACAACTGCTTTACGGTTGAAACACGAATGGGACAGAGGTACCCAAGCAATCGACTTTTGTACAAAGTCTCCCTCTGGTAAATCCAATCAGTTATCTTCTCTCACATATACATGCACTTTTATATTTACCACTCACATTTCATATACACTCACACAAATGTACTATTTCCGTCACACACTTCTTTCACTGAACCCATAATTTATCATTTAAAAGTGTAATACAACAACAGATGGAAGAGGGTACTGACTCCTGAAACAGGTTTTCCACACCTACCTTAGGAATCAAGAATTAGTGAAATAAAGATTAATTTTTATAATTATAAAAGATATTTATTTATATAAATATTCATTTATATATAAAAATATTCATTTATATATATATATAAACATTCATTTATATATATAAATATTCATTTAATATATTTCATACTAGCAACACAAAAAAGTTTTATTTTAAATTTAATCTTTTCCTGGTTTTTTTTTGCGAGTAACACAGAATAGATTAAAAATCTTATTTTTTTTTATTTCAGTGTCATTTTTCAATATTTAAATTATTTGTATTTATCATAAAGTGTTAATTTATTAAGAGAGAGTACACTGTACGTGAATCTAATATAATTTTCTTTGAAGTTTGACAGTTAAAGCAGGTGTTTTGCTTGTCAAATTTCAAAGAAAATTTAATGATATTAAATTATATTTAAATGAGAATTTAAAAAATGATTCTATAATGTACTGTAACGTTGATTTAATTTCTTAATTGTTTGTAAGTAAATGTATGAAGAAAAAGGTTAAAGAATTTTGTATATTTATTTATAAACTTTTTTTATTTAATTTCAATGATTTGTTTTGATTTTCTTTTATAGAAATTATTTGAAATATTTACTGATTATGAAAAAGTAGTCTTATTGCAATAATAGTATTTAGCTAAAAACAAATAAGAAAGAAATTAAATTATACTGACTTAAATGATCGGAAACAGATCTCAATCTGTATGTTTTTCGACTTTTGATGGTAACTTCATAATAATGGTCGCCTTGAAAAATAATATGTTGGAAGTAAATTAAAATAAATATTACTAATATTAATTATTTGAAAAGGCACGATTATTTCAATAAGTATTAGTGCTTACCTTAAAATAAACATATTCGTGTAGTTTAAATTTGCATGTACTTGTTGACTTTTGCTGCTAACCGTACAAAAATGATTGCTTCGAAAAATAATGTGCTTGAAGTAAATTTAAATAAATATTAATATTTATTATTTGAAAAGGCACCTTTATTTCAATAAGTAGTACCGAAGTCTGATAGAACGAATTAAATTATCTCGAAGTAAATGACCGGCGACAGCTGGCTTCTACCGTTTTACTATGAAAAAATTAAACTATAATTAAATTAGGTTAAACTAGCGACAGACAGGTGTTTAACAAATGTTCAGACGTTTTCCTATCCATCTAAGGTCTAGTTTAAGTAAAAGAAGTCTATCATTATTATCTCCTACCCTCATCTCAATTATTATTTGGGTTTTGTGTAATATGTTTTTCTCTTCTATTCTTCTCTGTGCGCAGTAATTTTTATAATCACTCCTATTTTGGCCATATAATTTTTTACATAGTCCATCCCTGTCTTTTTAGATCTTTCTCTACTCTTATAGCCAAACCAAAAGGAAGTCTATATTATAAAAAAAAGGTGCTTAAAATTATAATTCTACTATAATTATCTACAGATTTTGGCCAATACAAATATTTTTTTTTACAGTGACTTAACAATATTTAATCACTTAAACAGAGTTTTGTTAAATACTGTTTAAATAAACTTATTGTCTTGGATTTTTTTTTGTAGGAAGACCATTAAAGTCTAAATTCAGTTCAACAAAAGCTTATTAGAGTATGTAAATGTTTATTTCATATAATGTATTTACATGCCAGCATATTGTTTGAGTAAGACTGAATTTAATCCTATTTTAATAATGAATTTATAAATATGAAAGTGTGAATGGGACAAAGATACCCAAGTAGACGACTTTTGTACATATTCACTCTTTCTCTGTTTTTCAATGTCAAACATGTTGATAACAGAACAACACATAGAATAAAATATACTGTGATGCCCATGCCTAGTGATATCTCTGGTGAATATACGGCTTAACCTGTAATAAAATAAAAATAAAAATGTTTCCAGGTTCGAACTGGTCGAGGTGAGACGTTACGGTGGGCGATATGCGTGCCCAGGGTCTGCGATGCGAACGCCGTACAGCAGTTTGTCAGTGACGTCCTGTCCCATACAGTCGGTAATACCACTACTGTCCAAGTCACCGATAGAGACTGTTATACGAAGCAGCCGCTTACTGTCAATTCTCTGGATGTCGCCTTTTTGTAAGTAGTGATTTTTAATGGTGAAATAGAATGATAATCCGCCTGTGCTATCGGTATACGCTAGAAGGGGACAAGTGAGTGATGATAGGTGAAGATGAAGGCTAGTTGGCTCATCATAATGAATTCACCAGAAAATAATCACGATGTTTTTCGATGAAGATAGGGTAGTAGGACTGCGTGGAGATGGACACAATGGGGTATATTGTTAGCAACGGGGAACCTTCTCGTTGTCATAAAATCTGTTTCTGCTTCTCTGTAAGTATTTGTAAGATATGGATGTTTTGATTGACCGAAGTAAAAAGTAACCTATATACTCCTTCATTTCAAATGCTATGTGTATACTAAATATCATGATGGTTGGTCTTGGACAATTCAGATTATATTCTGACGCCCATAGTATCAGCAGTGCCCTGGCTGGTTAATCCTCTCACCACAATGGCCACCGAAAAAATTGCCCATCCCACTGGAGGCCCGCCATTGTGGAGCGCAATTACAGACTATGTCTCACCTTCTGTCTTGTCCTTTGTGTCCTTGATCCTTCACTAAGGACTTGAATAAGGCAACCGACTGTGTTGTGGGAGTTGCTAAGTTCTGGTGTGAACTGAGATGTTACTACGTCCCCGTATCCTATAAGTTCACAGCTATATCCATCCTTCAAACTTAATACACAGCTAGTAAGCGTAGAGAACACACGAGAGAGAATTCATAGGTTTAGGCTGAGATTTGATCTTGGGACCACGGGACTACACGATGTGTGATCACGGTTTGAGGTCTCAACATGAAATCTGAGCACTATTTAAAAATTTTACGAGTATGTTTGGATCTTATTAAAATGACTGTTAGTTGCTTCGTGCTTTGAAGGGCGTATCAGGGTCTTCGTATATAACGATGGCTTCATATATAACTGAAGGGCCTTTATACATATAATAGTAATACTGAGCTGTTATCATCCTTATTGATCTCAAATCGATGGCAAAATTAAGTACGAATCATTATTCTGTATGCCAATAATGAGATTTGGAATTCCTTGTTGAATTAACCTTAGAATCCAATGTAAAGGATGACGCAGATTTACGTACCTATCTACTATGTTTTGTATACATCTACATACCGATGGCGACAAGCGATGACCTAAACAAATATTATCAAAACGGTAATCTCTTCAGTATTTTAGTATCCCATACGAAATCCTAAAAAGGGTTTCGTTGTTTCTCTTTTTTTCTCAGACGTTTTTTTATTGCAATTGGATTTATGGTTTGATTCTAAAATATTGGGGAAAAACTTGTATTTGTAATCATTAATAGAGTAAAAAAGGGTACAATAAGGTTTCTTCGGGGTCGGTAACGTAGAGGTGACACCTCTGGTGGCCTGTAACACTAGTCCATAGGCTACAATGACCGTTTACCATTACGGGCTGCTTGTTTGCTACCTTTGTGGTATAACAAAAAAAGCCAAATGCATTTGTTATCTTTTGTCATTGTAGAGTATATAATACTCGACATGCACAGATTTTATCAAACTTTAATATTTATTTATTTATTTAAATTTTAATACATAGTAAAATTCTATGTACAGTTGGCGGACTTAACACCGGACGGTGTTTTCTACCTGTCAACCATTGACCAAACCGAGAAATAAGTGGGCGGTGTATTATTGAATAGAGTAAAAATTAAGTAACACTTGATATATTCATATTATAAACATGTAATTAGACATTAATATATTATAATTTACATTAATATTCAATATAGCAGAGGCTGAAACTATAGTCCTTTATTTCACTAAGGTAAATTTTTTTAAACAGTATTGTATGTTATTGGAGAGTTACTCGGAGACTTAAATTATCATTCAAAAAGTTTTTCATAGGTTCCTTAAGTCTTCAAAATGGTATTCTTGAATTATACCCAAGGATGCTTCGAAAATCGAATTTTTAGTAGATTTTCATGAATTACTTTAACTGCTAAATTCTAACTCATGGTCTTTGAGATCAATAAATGAGGGTAGTATATCACTGGGATACGTTTTTTTTTGATGGGTGAAAATGGTATGGTAACCCCGTCTGCGCTAACGGAATACGCTGGCGGAGCACCAGTGAAGGGTGATTGATGAGAATGAAAGCAGGCCAGTTAGCCCATCATGATGAATTCATTAGGAATTAACCATGATAGTTTCCAGGGAGAACCGCGAGGAGATCGACCTGGTTGGGTATATTGCTAGCAATGGGATTCTCAGTCTCCATTACTAACAATCCCTTTCCCCCCTACTGGGTTACGATTGCTTTGCTTTACACAATCACATTTAAACTCCTAATTGAATTAGAATAAATGATAGTATATAGATGTAACATATTCTATATTAACAAATAGCATTGTTTTTATCACAATTTACGTCGGAAAAATCACGGTGTTCAACTAGTGTAGGATAAAGTGTTAATAGAGCGTTGTGGGTTTTATACTCTATTTCTGTTTAACACATATGTATAAAATTTATTGAAATCTTATGTTCATACATACATTGGGTTACTCAGGGCATTGATAAAGGAGAAAAGGTCATCACCCTTTTCGATCGTCAATACCAGTTCTGTTATCTATATATATTTAAATCAATCGAAATTTTATATATTTTGTATTCGACTAATGCATGGATATTGTAGTTACGAATTACAATATATAGCTATTGTTTTATATTACCCATTCCTAGTAAGAGGTATGAGTCAATGCTTTTTTTAAATATAAAGTAGAAACGACTATGGGTAACGTTTTCTTTGTCTTATACTAGTGATATTATGCTTTGTCCTCTTAGTTCCTTTTTAAGACATACTGAGGATGATACATTGTATCCCAACTAAGTCACTATAGAACTTTCCATAGAATTTGTAAACGAACGAATCATATATATATATGACAGTAAATGGCCAATATTAGTACAAATAATTTATTGATTGTTTCGATTTATTATTACATCATATGAACCTTTAACTATCTACTGTTAAACGTATGTATACCTTTCCCATAAGGGGAGTTTTGCCAGTAAATTCCACGCTTGGCAGGTGGGTTGGTAATCGTTTAGGCTTTTAGAAATGTTTTAAGAAAGACGCTGCTGCTCATCCTTCTACCATTCTCTTAGTCGTCTCTTACGACACTCATAGTCCCCACCCCTCTTAGGAGGTTTTGTCAGTAGTTGCTACGCTTGGCAGGCGGATTGGTAACTGCTGTTAGGCTTTACAGATGTTTTAAGAGGGACACTTCTGCCCATCCTTCGCCCTCACTTAGTTGCTTCTTACGATAGTTACGGTAAAGAAAGTGGTTGCTTTATTCTATGCCGGGACCACACGGGCATTTGTGTATATTCTCATTAAATTCTATTGAAACAAGCTATAATGGAATATGTCAAATATGATCGAATAGACGTGATTAAAACTTAATAATAATTCTTGTTTGTTCCAGATCATTAATATTCCTCTTCGTCGCAATACTAATAATGAGCACCTCTTATGAAATTTATTGTATACAATGGAAACGCAAAAGGGTTTCAACGATACACGATATTATAACTTCCTTCTCAATTATTAACAACATGAAGAAAATTCTTTCCACTAAACAGAATAATAGTTTGGGATTGGAAAGTATAACTGGAATAAAGGTTTTGGCAATGATATTTATTATATCAGGGCATGCGAGCTTATTTATCAGCGTTGGGCCTGTAATGGACGCCGAAGCATTTGATAGGGTAAGAATTTTGTTATAATTAGTTTTTTATATTTTTATATTTATTATAAATATAAATAATATTTCACCATCATCATTTTTTTTATACAACTTAGAATGGCAAAAAAGCTGACGGCCCACATGATGTAAAGTGGTAACCGTCGCCTATAGACATGAGCAGTACCATGGACATAACAGAGTATACTGTTTCGCCCATGATACCCTCCATGCGTTGCCATTCCTGAGGACTCAGGTGTTATTCCTCTGTACCCTGTAAATTCACGCCATATCCCACCCTTCAAACCGAAACACAGCCATGCAAACACAACTGCTTCACGGTTGAAACACGAATGGGACAGGGTCATATCAACCTTTAATTATCCACTGCTTTACATAAGCCCCTTGTGGGAATTTGCCATTGGTTGCCGCGCTTGGCAGGCATATTGGCAACCGCAGTTAGGTTTTACTAATGGTACAAAAGAGACGCTACTGCTCATCCTTTTAAGTTCCCTAAGTCGCCTTTTAAAGGACCACACTGCGATATTATAATATTAGACCATATAGCTTGCTAATTAAAGTAAAAAAAAAGGTTTGAAATGAGTAGAAGGTCAGTCATGAATCTGTTATTACAGAGAATAAACATTTGCTTATTAGGATAATTTGCTGCAAATTGCGGTTTCTCTTGTTACACTGACATAAGATTTGTTATTAGTCATCCATATTACAAATATTAATTGACGCAGTGTTAACTCCAATCAAATATAGGGTTTTACAAATACTAGAGTCTTAACGATTTGTCAAACGATTTGAGGAATAGTTTTATTTGTCCAAATGGTTTCTGAGATATATTTACTATTCGGTCAACCGTAACTATCGTGACTAACATCAGGATTCTTAGGAGTATGGAAGAAATGTTTTTATAATTAAGTGAATTTCCTATTAGAATATATAAATTTATATTATTTATGATTACATATTCAGAAGGAGGTACTCAGTTCGTGTGTTTTTTTGTCATCATTGTGTTGCTATATATTTACCAGTTATTCGCTTATCATCATCTTCATCACCTTCCTACTCTTATCCCAATTATTATATGGGGTCGGCGTAATATATTTTTTATCCATATTACAAAAAGATTTGGCTTATAGTTTTACGGCCGGCCGCCTGCCTGACGTCAACACTGTTTGGGAAATACCAGTTATTCGCTTATATTGATGATTTTTTTTTTAAATAGATTTTAGTCTACGGATGGCTCAAAAATTACTATTAATTTGTCAAAAATAAATATATATCTTTGACAAATTAAAAAAGGAGTGACTTTTTACAAAGTTGACTAGAAACTTGTCAGTCGACCTTTGTCTTATTCTATTTTTATTGAAATATCTATTAATATCCGATTTAAACTAGTTTGACGAACCAAGTATTACGCAAATGTAAATTTACTGCACGGGTCAGCTGCGTAGATGCGAGTAGCATCCCTGGTTTTATACCAACTATAAGATACGTTTGTCATTAACTACCCGGCGAGCCGTATACATATTTAATTATGATAAATTCCTACAGTTGTATTAATATTGTTTATTTGCTCACAGATACTACGAAATCCAGCCAATGCTTTCATGGAGAACAACATGATTTTAGTGGACACTTTCTTATTTCTGGGAGCATTCCTCTTCAGTCGAATTCTACTTCCAGAATTGGATAAGCGACGGGGCAGACTAAACATTTTACCTATCTTACTGTTTCGTTATTTGAGGTAATAAAAATGAAATTAAAACTATTAGTTTCCTTTTAAGACAGTCTTACCGTTAAACTGAAAATTTTTCCAAAGAAAATTAGTTGAAGGATAAAAAGGATTAATTTTGTGAGTCTGCATTTCCTAAAATCATATCATAATTATATTAGCCGCTAACTATTCACTGCTAAACGTAGGCTTCTCTCTAGTAGGGGGTTTTGCCAGTAGTTCCACGCTTGGCAGGCGGGTTAACGACCGCAGTTACGCTTTGGTTATGTTTTAAGAGGGACGCTGTTGCCTATCTCTCGACAATTAAGTTCCCTTAGGCCCCTCTTACGACATCCACGAGAAAAGAAGGAGTGGCATAGAATGGTCCACCCGGAAATTTCTAAAATAAATAAAAAAAAATTGTCTTCAGTTAGTATTGTATTAATGGGTGTCCAGCATTAATGTCAGTATGGAAGATTCCTATTTTTTTGGTCTATTTTAAAATTATGTCTTCGTGCTACACCAGAAAACAGCAAAAAACTTATTTGTGTAAATATTCTTTAAAATAACACTAATAATATATAAGTATTATCATTTAAATCTTAAAGTCGATAAATTTGGACGTTGCCTTTATTTCACAAAAACTAGCTAAGGAAGTTCAAAGTCGCTAACATGACCTTTGCTCTTTAGAGACTTCACAGCGTCACTGAATTAACTTAAGTAGTAGATAGTGTAGTAAATAATAGCTTAGTATAGAGTGTATGTGAATTAGTACTCAATTATCTATCGATCCAACAGTAACTTGTAGTATAACAAGCGATATCAAAGCATTAACATGACCTTGATTGATTTGTAATTGCCGATGTGGGCAAATTGAATTTGGCTGTTCAACTACGTTATTAAATGGCTTGATTAAAGGTTCTGATTGCTGTATCAAAGCAATTTGTATCAAAGTGTATAATTATGATATGTGTTTAGCATCTATAAATGAGTATATATAAATTTATACAGAATTCTACAAAAAATTATACCATCTAATAAATTTATTGTATTACGTCAATTTCTGACCAGTTTACGAAAAAAACGAAACCGGTCCAGGAATCGAAACGCATGTAATAATTTTTGGAAGACTTTTTTATCTTAATAATAAGCCATCAAGATTCTATATTTAGAAACGCGTATTTCCTCATATGACGAATATAGCTTAATGTATACAATACTGGCCTAATCATAATATTTTTTTTTTATATTGCTGAACTTAGTTCTCCTCTATAGATTGTTATAAGCCGCCAATATTCACTGACTTCTAGCAACATATTTGTGTTATTTATTCTATACTATAGATGAGGATCACTCACCGAGGAAAATGACCTTAAATAAGAACCTATTTTAATTAATTGTCAATTCTTTAAAATTTCATTTATTACCATCTCATATTGTAAATTTTCCGCCTATAGAGAAGTACTCGTATCACCCCAATTATGGCAATTTTTAACAGTTTTGTTTTCTCTTGTTTTTTTTTTATGCTACTTAGAATGGCAAACAAGCTGACGGCCCACCTGGTGGAGAGTGGTAACCGTCGCCTTTAGACATAAATAGTACCGTGGACATAATAGATTTATTTTTTCGCCTATGATACCCTCATGTGTTGGCATTTTTGAGGACTCAGGTCTTATTCTTCTGAACCTTGTAAATTCACTGCTATACACCACTTTTCAAACCAAAACACAACCATGAGAACACAACTGCTTCACGGTAGAAACACGAATAGGACAGAAGTGCCCAAGAAAACGATTTTTGTACAATGTCTCCCTCTTGTTACTTATTACTTTTCCTAATATCTAGAATTCGTTGTCATCCGTCAATATACAAAGTGTTAACTAATAAATAATGTATGTACCTATATATTTCTTTGCAGAGTGACACCAGCGTATGCGGTTGTGATATTATTTTACATGACATGGTTCCCAAAGATCGGAGACGGTCCTTTGTGGGAGAGCAAGATGAGGTTAGAGCAAGATAGATGCTTAGAATCGTGGTGGGCCAATATACTCTATGTAAATAATTATGTAAATACAGACAAAATGGTAAGTACTAGAATGTTATTCAATATTATGATGTAGATATTATAAATAGTAAATATTTCTTTATTACACAATCATGTTTGAATAGTCGAATGCAGTTGAAGGAAATGGTGTTACTTTGCGTAGAGAACAAGTAACTGTGCTATCTAAAAATGATAGATTATGATAGATAGAAAAAGATAGAATATAATCCACTAGAGGGAGACTTTGTACAAAAGTCGATTGCTTGGGTACCTCTGTCCCATTCGTGTTTCTACCGTGAAGTAGTTGTGTTTGAATGGCTGTGTTTCGGTTTGAAGGGTGGGATATGGCGTGAATTTACTGGGTACAGAGGAATAACATCTGAGTCCTCAGGAATGGCAACGCATTGGGGGTATCATGGGCGAAACAGTATAATCTGTTATGTCCATGGTACTGCTCATGTCTATAGGCGACAGTTACCACTTTCCATCAGATGGGTCGTCAGTTTGTTTGCCATTCTATGTTGTATAAAAAAAATATATAAGAAAGAAATAAGGGGAGAAGAAATTTACATGAAATGAATGAAATAGAGTATTTCATTATTTTATTTTCTCAATTTAAAGTTACCAAAACATGAAATTCCATTGTTTATTGTTTGTTTATAAATGTTTATTCTACTAATAAATAAATAAAAATTAATAGAAACCTACAAGGTGAATTGAACTGTAACAGTAGATTGATACGTCGAAGGAATATCTTATTTCATCTTCTTTTATTATCATAGTGTAATACTAATATTTTTGCATTGATTTGCATTGTTGCGTTTTAAACGACTTAACAGTTATAAAATGATAAATCCTGAATATATTTGTGATGTTTTGAAAATGTAATTAAATAAGGGCTATTATTATTTTTCAGTGCATGTTTCAATCGTGGTATCTCTCAGTTGACACCCAATTGTTCTTCTTTGCTCCGATCTTTATCTTCGCTCTTTGGAAGTGGCGTCGATTCGGTCCCATGTTACTGGGTGTAGGCTTACTGATTTCTCTATTGATCCCAGCTGTCATAACTTACACGAGAAGATTGGACCCAACTCTTTTATTATTTGCGAAGTAAGTCATGTTTCATTTTTTACTTTTAAGTGTATCTAGAAAATGAGGATTCTTAATTTAGCGGCATTTCTTTTTTATTATGTTTTACCTTTTTTTTTTATTCTTACTATATTTATTAGTGGAAACTTTATTAGCTTTTATTATACGCAAATTTTTATCTATTATAAGCACTATACATTTTTTTTAAATAAATATACTTGTATTAAGTTCTTTCGATGACGTATATAGAGAAGTATAAATCTTCTCTTCTGTGACATAGAAAAGTATAATTTCTGAACTAAGCACATTATTTTTTAGCAAATATCTTTATATAAATATAGAAAACCACTTTGCTTCTTATCATTTAAAAAAGAATATGCTTTAGTTCTGTATTAGTTATTTTATTTTGTTTCAGAGAATTCTCCGACTTGATTTCTAATTTTTACTTCAAAGAGGCATATATAAAAACCCACATGAAGATTACGACATATTTGATGGGCTTATTAACTGGTTACATTTTACATCGGATACAAAAAGAGAAGTGAGTAATTACTGTAATCCATATCTAAAGCTTTATAAGAATAATCTTTTTAGGGATCTGTAACCAAGAAAGGTAAACAGGAACCCTTTTAGTCCGGAATAGCAAAAAAGGTAAACAAAAACCTTTATGGTACGACTTTGTACGTTGTTCCAATATGACGGTGCTATATTTCAGAAACTACTATTTTAACTTGAGAGTTGTTATAGTTTTAAAAATTTAAATTACACAATAAACAAGTTCTTGCTATCATTATGTTTTGACTACATCGATATTTTGACCCTATTTTAAGAGTCATGGTCACCATGTAACTAAATAAAATGTATGTATGACTTAAGACTATAAACATATCTTTTTAACTTCTTTGTTCGCTGTTTATTTTCATTTCATTATCTCTCTGAAAACAAATAAATAATGGTGGTTAGAACCTTAATTAATTTTCTGTATTTATTTATTAATGAACATTCCATGTACGTAATTGTTTGTATCTATAGTAAGTTTACTACTGTAATCTCTTTTGGAGAAAACGATAAAGAGTATATATCTATATATCAATAAAGAGCACATTTAACCACGAAAATTTAAACTCTTTAAATTGTTGTTAATACAATCTTACTATTTAGGAAATAATTAATATATTGTGTCTATAAGTAACAATTATGTTCCATCAGCTTGTTTTGATACTTTAAGTTTTTTTTTATACAACTTAGAATGGCAAACAAGCTGACGGCCCACCTGATGTAAAGTGATAACCGTCGCCTATAGACATGAGCAGTACCATGGACATAACAGAGTATACTGTTTCGTCCATGATACCCTCCATGCGTTGCCATTCCTGAAGACTCAGGTGTAATTTCTCTGTACCCAGTAAATTCACGCCATATTCCACCCTTCAAACCGGAACACAGCCATGCAAACACAACTGCTTCACGGTTGAAACACGAAGTTGCTCATAAAAATCTTTTTTGCAGTTACCAAATGTCTCGATCATTGAAGGTCTTCGGATGGATAACCAGTATTATACTGGGGACAGTCACGACATTTTCTGTTAGCCTGTTTTATCAGGAATGGTATCAATATAATGCAATTGAGGCTGCAGCCTACATTTCCTTGCACAAACTGGCATGGTCGATAGCAAACGGCTGGATGATCATCGCGTGTGTTACTGGAAATGGAGGTGAGTTAATAATGATTTATTATCATCATCATCATCATCATCACTCTTACTCATTAATGTCCCAATGCTGGACATAAGTCTCTTCTCGAAAGAAGAGAATATTAGGTCTCTTTTGGGTATCAATTGTTCACGTTAAAGCTGTCGATGGCAATACGATTTGAGTACATCAGAATTCATCCTAAAATGGTGAAGAAATATAAAATTAAAACAGTAGACAAAAGTTATATGAAATACATTTTTTTTAATTTTTGAAAAGCTATGTAATACCACTGGCAAAGATATTGGAATAAAAGCATTATTCAGCTTATACAGCTTTTTTTTTTATGTCAGTGACGATTGTAAAAAATTCAATACTTAAAATTTTCTAAAGAATTTGAGATTGAAGTCTTCTATTCACGTCAAATGTCATAATTGTTAGACGGTAGCTGTTTATTTTCTTTTCTCGCGTGTATCTTTTTTGATGAACAATGTTTTACATTTTCAATCGACTTCGAAAAGAAGGAGGTTGTCATTTCGGTTGTAATTTTTTTTATGTTTTATAACTTATAACTCTGTTTATAAGTTGTAAACTGAGTTAATTTTTTTTATGTATAAGGATAGGTTTCACAAAAATTTTATCAAAATTGGTCCCCAATCGTTTAGTTTTTAAATCAAAATAACTGGGTTTGCCACAATTGAAGTCGATTATTAAAAATTTTATAACTTCAGTAATAAATATAATTTAAATTGTGTATTATCAGTTAGATTCTAAATTACCAGTTTATTATTTATGCCATTGTACTCGTACCCTTCAGACGAACTAATTTTGTTAGATATGTTTAAACAATTGTTTTCGTAAATCACTTTTGAATTTATTAATTGCAATTTTAAAATAAACACAGAAAATTACTCTATTAACGCTTTAAAATCCATTATAGTAATTAATTCTAAGAACATTTATTGTGTTTTTTTGGTGATTTCAAAATAATGTAATTTATTAAGAATGATTTGAAAGGTATTTTATTGAATTGAAGTAAATTGAAAAATAAAGATATTAATACTGTGAAACCGTGATATTACTTTGTCTAGTAAGTTGGAATATTAGTTTGATTTATTAAATTTATATTTACTATACTAGCTTTGGTACGCGACGTCGTATGTTTTTAAAAAATCTTATTTAAGGGTTGAATTTTTAAAATTTCTTTTTTATTGTTCACCTACGGTTTATAAAGAACTCTTTCGGCTGTGCATTGATGTATGGTTTAGTCAGTCTGTCAATCAGTATCCTATTTTATATAATATAAAATTTTAAAAAAATTTTAAAATAAAAAATATAAATTCAACTTAGCATTTTAACGTCAGGTATCCTTCAATATCCTTCATAATTATAATATATTAGCACAATGATAGATATGTTGTGATATACCTATTTATTTATTAAGTAATACATAGAGCTGGAGTATTGTTTAGTAAAATTTTCTTGCAGAGATGAAATATTTCATACCTATTTAATTTTACAGTCAAAGAACTTTTTATTTTTATAATACACTAGTAGCATTATTTTATACAAAAAGAATGTTAGTCTACTGTTAATATTGAAAATGCTTAATAATCTGTAGTTTATTGAACTCCTTTTGCTAAATTATCCTTAGGTTTTTGTAATATAATATCTCTTTGTGTTTACAAATCATTTACTGATAATTTGAGATAAAGGGACCTCGTTAAATAAAAAATACCGATCAGATGAAACCTTTATCTTTGTCTCGTTGAAAATCTAAGAATTTTCCACAAAATTAACATTGTTTATTAGCTGGGTGCCTAATTTTATATTTATTTTGTTGTATATTATCTTGGGGGGGGGGGGGGGGGGTTATTTACTAATGTTATAAAATTGCAACTAGACTATGTCTGTACATGAAAGATATTTAAGAAAAGTTGATATGAAGGGTCTCGATACATGCCTAAACAATATTTTTTTTTTAGAAAATTTGTCTCTCTGTCAGTTTATCTGTCTATTTGTATGTTTGTTCTGGCATCACGTTAAAACTAATACACCAAATTGGATGTGGTTTCCACAGCTGTATTCCTGATGATCTGACATAAAATATAGTATATATTCTAACTTGAAAGCCTATCCACAAGTAAACTAGTTTTCCTACTTCAGTGTTTCTAAAATTCACGTGTAAGAAATAGCGGGGAAAGAGTTTTTATAATCTAATTATAGACAAGGAAAAAACAAAATAACGATTCCAACAATTTATTTTAATTGACATTATTATATTTACATGTATTTTTTTTCATAATTGAACCAATTGGTATAAGAATATTGGGAATAATATGTTAGGATACGTAATAATTTATTATGTTATTTAATATTGGCTTTTAGCTCTTATTCTCTAGCTATTAGCAATTATTTTTTAGCAACGTTACAGTCATTGTCTGTCTTGCTAAATTTTATATGACTAATAGTATTATAATTCTTATTATAATTTTTTTAAGGTATCCTAGCGAAGCTGTTCAATTGGAAATTATTTGTGCCATTATCCAGGTTGACCTATTGTGCATATCTCGTGAATGGGATAGTCGAATTGTTCTATATAGGACAACTGAGACATCCAGCCCACCTTACAGTACTTACTGTGGTAAGTGTGATAACATATTGGGTATATTTTTCGCAATTTTAGATAATTTTTTTTCTGTTCGCCAAATTTTGGTAAAATTTAATTCTTGGAGAAGTTTTTGGAGACAAGTTTTATTAATTTTTTTTTATGCAACTTAGAATGGCAAACAAGCTGACGGCTCACCTGATGGAAAGTCGTAACCGTCGCTATCACCATCATGGACATAACAGAGTATATTGTTTCGTGTTTAAGTGAAATAGGCTTGGAGAAATTTGGGTAATCTTTTGGACAGTTTTTAAACTAATATCTAATCACTCTATACTGCGTTTATACGCACGATATTACCACTCGAGAACCTTTCTTCTCTATTGGCTCTTCTATCTTAAAACTATATAATCAACTTGGTAATAATTCAGGATTTTGATTTGCATCCTTTTAGGGTTTGTTTCAAGTATATTTTGCAAAGAAAACAGCAACCAAAATAATAAAAAATAAAACATAACAAACAAGACAGCAAAGTCTTAAATGCAAACAAAAATACAAAAGTTTATTCTTATATGATAATCTAATGTGTGTGTTTATTTTTAGACGGCGAATTCGATTTCACATTTAGTGCTGACGTTTTTCCTTGCCTTACTGCTGTGTATTACCTTCGAAAGTCCAATACATGGTATAGAGAAGATTCTTCTCAAAAAGTTTGGTATGTACCAACTAGTATATATAGTATATACTAAATCAATCATACTCTATGGTATCCCACTGCTGGGCAAAAGCCTCCCTCAATTGCTTCAATCTAGTATATTACCACTGAAATAATTTTATACTCTTAATACTGCTAAGTGGACGAAGTATAAGATACATGTGAAGATAAGAGAGAAAGAGGCTATTGTCATTTGCTTTCCTTTGCTTATCCCTAATGGAATCTCCCGGCAAAGATATATATTGTAATACACTATTTTACTAACATAATAGAAAAAGGGTTCACAATAGAAGCGTTTCTATTCTCAAAACTCGTTCATACTGACAGCATACGAGCGACGCTGATTTGTTAGATTTTCATACGGAAATTAACTAAGTTGTTAGGAATTGATAAGTAATGTATAAAAGCTGTTGAACCTCAATATAGTTAATTTACTTAACAGTAGTTTAATCAATATGGGATTTGAATATTTTGACAGTTTACTTAGCCATTAATCTGCGGAAAACTCGTTTTACTCTATTGACATGTTTCGTGGTTTGAATTTTTTACAAGCTCAATATAGATTACTTCTGTATTTTTTTCGTGTGTTAGGAATTATTATATTCTATGCCTTAATAATGTATTATCTTCATTCAAATCTATTTAGCCACTAAAAAGTCTAAATGTCTTTATAAGTTCTGTGCTTATATTATTAATAAGATTATCAGAAAATATGTGGCAGTTTTTTTTAAATATCATCTATTGTCTATTTGTATATATTTTTTTTATATTTGCAGTTGGTCCAAGAGCCAGTGACAATACGAGAGAAGATAAATCACAGGAATGCTCAAGAAGTACTAGTCAATCAAAGTTAGAATCATAGCATACATTTTGTTTTAGGGGAAATTGTTTTATGTAAATATTAAGTGGATAAGGTGTATTATATTTTTATAATCTATATATACTTTATTGTATATATAATTTGGAATGGCGAACTGACGGATCACTTGATTTTAAGTTTGTGAGTGGTAACTGTCGCCTGTAGATATAAATCGCATCATGCGTATCAGGGAAAACTGTGTTGTGGCCATACATTGTTATTTCTGAGGACTTAAAAATAAAAAAATATTTCTTGAGTACTTAATCATATTGCTGTTAAATTAACTACTATTGAATTGTGATATATCTATATGTAAATTAGAAAGGGAAATGTCACATGTAGGTACATATTTAAATAATTTTGAAATTTTGTTAAAAAAGAAGTATGCCATTCATTAAGAGTTGTAATAAAACACTGCGAGAACATTTTTTGCCATAAATATTTTCATCTTATATACAAATGTAAGAAAAAGAGAAAAAAAAAGAAACAGTTTTGTTTAAGTTAGGTTCTATCTAATTTAAATAATTCGTTATTTACATTTTATACTACATTATGCTACTATTATACGTTTATCTTTTAATTTAATCAAATGTATATACATTAGATATATTTCAAAAAATATTTGAACGTACATATTTCATTCTTTATAGTGTACTAAATGAACATATTTACCATAATACCGTACCATCAAGCAAGTTTGTGTAAATATGGTTTCAAAAATACTAGGTACTAACTTACAATAATATTTATCAGTTATTTAAAAATATAGCGACAGTTTACAGTGGTTATTAGACATAATGTGTGAATTCGTCAACTGTTTATATTTTTGAGGCTCTCTCGTCACGTTCCGTCAGTGTGACTCGGCAATAGAATGTACTTATATGTATTACATTAGGTACTGCACAGTTTTTGTTACACAGTAACAATATTGTTTCTAATATAATTAGCTTGTAAGAATTAATTGCTCAAGATGTATTATAGAATACCTCAAGGAATAAAGAGATTTTTTTTTATATATTATTATAATGAGTTGTTTTAATTCAAATTTTGTTATTATAAAATTTACTTTTTAGAACATAAGCTGCATACATTTTGATAAAATTTGATTAAATGGAAAAAATTGCTTTTGAAAAAATAATAACACTGTGTTCCATGTTCCATGCTTGGTAAATACAGGGTTAGTGTTGTGGCTAAAGTTAGTCTACTTTCAATTATTGCAAACAAGATCGAAGTTCAAGGCACCGCAAGTATATGCAAACTTGCATAATCATGACAGTGTGATCTGGTGCGGGTAGCCTTTGTTGGCTGATGGTACGACGTACATGTTTGAAGTTAGCTAACTTTGTTGTGCCAGAACGTATAAGCGAGTTAAGACAACGATAGTTTACTCAATTTTAACTCAGTGATATTACAAATATCCTAATCAGTATCAGTAATGTAGCTAAAAAAAAGAAAGCTTTTTTTATACAACTTAGAATGGCAAACAAGCTGACAGCCCACCTGATGGAAAGTGGTAACCGTCGCCATAGACATGAGCAGTATCATGGACATAACAGAGAATACTGTTTCATCCATGATACCCCCCATGCGTTGCCATTCCTGAGGACTCAGGTGTTATTCCTCTGTACCCTGTAAATTCACGTCATATCCCATCCTTCAAACTGAAACACAGCCATGCAAACACAACTGCTTTACGGTTGAAACACGAATGGGACAGAGGTACCCAAGCAATCGATTTTTGTACAAAGTCTCCCTCTAGCAGTATATTCAGTATGCTGTGTGGTTCCGGCATAAAATGGGTTACCTCTTCTTTTCCGTGGGTGTTTTAAGAGGCGACTAAGCGATTTCAATGATCGAGGGATGAGCAGCGGCGTTCTTTTTAAAACTTCACCAAAGTCTAGTTGCAAGAGGAAAGGGATTGTTAGTAATGGAGTTTGATAGCCATTGCTAGCAATAAACCCTGTCAGGTCGACCTCCACGTGGTTCCCCCTGGAAATCATCGTGGCGAATTCTTGTTGAATTTGTCACGATGGACTAACTGTTCTACTTCGTCGTCACCTACTATCACTCACTGATGCCCCGCCAGTGTATACTGATAGAACAGACGGAGTTATCATTCTATTATCACCTATTAAAAAAATTTTGCTGCGGTTGTAAACCCACTTGCCAAGTGTGGCAACTACTGGTAAAATTCCGCTTATGGAGCAGGCCTATGTTCAGCAGTGGACAGTTAACTATTAGTTAGGCTTATACAATAAAAATAATATATAATCAGTATTATATATAGAATTTTTTTATGTATAAAGTGAAATCGAAATTATACAGACGACCTCCGTAATGCAGAGGTGGACGCGTTGCTTTCCATAAATGAGGACACAGGTTCGATACTTCATTCGGTCAATTTAAGAAATATTTTTTTGTGAACTTGCCATAATGTAATTGTCCTAAGTTTTGCATGTGCACTCAGATATTCGTTGTATGGTTTTTCATATGGGAAACCCTAGTTTGGGGATCAGACGATTCGTGTGGTTGTATGGAACTTATTATTATTACTATAAGAATAATTTTTTCCTTCATATTGAAAAATGTAAAAAAAAAAAGTTTGACGTGTCGTGTGGTATATGTTGTGTCTCTAATCTAATTGTTTCCATGGTGTGACTTCAGAAAAGGAATAAGTTCTCAATTCAGTTGTGTTTTTTTTTGTTTGTTACCTCATAATTCCGTCATTTGTAAACGGATTTGCAAAATTATTTAAAAATGTTAAACATTTTTTTATCTGAAAGGATTTTACGTTAATCCCATAGAAATTTATAATCGGTTCAGTTTTTAAATCTAAATAAAATTTTTTGCCACGACTGAAGTCGATTTCTTTTTACGGAACACAATTTGAACAATTTTTTTTTAATTATAAGGAACCTTTTATATGCCGCACAAATACAGATGTACACAACTACAACGAGAAAACCTAGTGAGTAAAATATATTTAATACATATTTGTCGTTCGTTTCGAATTCCTTCTTGCAATTCCTTTACAACTAACATAGATTAGTAGACATCCATTCACGTCAAACGAACACGGTTCCAGGACATATCAACATTGATGTGAATACTGTATTATATAATAGTAAATGAACAGTGCAAACAAAACGTGTATCACCAAGAACAGTCTGGAATAATCAAACGCTCGACTGAATATCGTATGTGAAATATCTGTAACCCTTAAGGTGTACTGCGATTCATCAATAGATTATAACTATACGTATTTGTATTTGTGTGTTGTATTTAATCAACCTAGGTAAGATTCATAGATACAAGTTTAAATTGAACTTTGTATTCAGGGCAAAAAAGTAAGTTTTTTGGTGTCTGTCCAAGTAAGATTTTCTGTGGAAGACTTAATCAACCTTTAGGTAAAATTATAGATACTTGTTCAAATAAATGTCGCAGTCACGTGAACTTTGTGTTCTAGTTCTTTGCTCTTTGTTATATAGTTTAATTTAAGACAAAAAAGAAGTTTTTATGTGTCTATTCAAGTAAATTCTGAGGAAGGTGAGATCTTTAGGTAAGATCTATAAATGCAGAATTAAACAGATTCCATCATTGTTATCATTACCGTCATGTCAGTCGTTATACGTCCACTGTTGGACATAGGCCTCCTCCATAGATACTCCATAGTTTGCTATAAGGAACGGTCCTGAGCCACCTGTATCCACTGACTCACTGCTATAAGCGAAATTTGTTCGGTGGAAAGATAATTTACTATCAAAAATATATTTTGTAACATCACAGTAATATCTCTCTCTAACAGAGAGATCATATACAGTAGTGAACCACAAGTGCAACCCCTAGTTATGTAGAAAATACTATAATATATATACTTATTTATATAAAAAAAAAAAAAACTTAGACACAAAAAACATCTGCCTATCTTATTAGAGTTTAATACCGTGGACATATATATTTAAGGTTGTCTTGAAAGATTGCTGTCAGCAATAAGACCGCCTTACTGTACTTATACAATTATATCGTTATATTTATTAATTGTGTTGTTTTTTCCCTATATTGTATGTATAATGTAAATAAAGTATACTCATTCATTCATCTATTTTTATTTCTTCCAATGTTTTTATCAAAAAGATTTGTATGCGTTCTGTCTCTTACTATTTGTTCTTTTGGTTACGTACTATGTAATTTGATATTATTGTTAATTTTTAACCGGTATTCAATTCATAACCGACTCGTTATTTAATCGAAAGCACTCTTGTATTGGTCTCTTATAAGATTTATCAAAACGGATTTCTCGTTTTTATTCCTCTAAAATGATTGATGTTTCCGCTGTTATTAAATTTCATGATAAGTAAATAATTAATAATTCCACGAAAACATTTCGTTTTATAATTAAAACGATATCATTTTGAAAATAATTTTTCGGAACCTTTTTGCTATTGAGTAAGAATTATGTTGAAAATTGTCCAATGAATTGTGAATAAAACAAACCAAAGGTTTGTGACCTTGGTTTGTTAGATAGGATAGGATTTTTTTTTAGTGGGTCATAATGGAATGGTAACCCCACCCGCGCTATCAGTATACACCGGCGAGGCACCAGTTTGAAGGGTGGGATATGGCGTGAATTTACAGGGTACAGAGAAATAACACCTGAGTCCTCAGGAATGGCAACGCATGGGGGGTATCATGGGTGAAACAGTATACTCTGTTATGTCTATGGTACTGCTCATGTCTATAGGCGACGGTTACCACTTTCCATCAGGTAGGCCGTCAGGTTGATTGCCATTCTAAGTTGTATAAAAAAAAAGTGAAAGATAATAGGTGAGGATGAAGTAAGTCAGTTAGCCCATCGTGACGAATTTAACAAGAATTGTTCACGATGGTTTCCAGGGGGAGCCACGTGGAGGTCGACCATTAATAGGGCATACTGCTAACAATGGGGCTGTTAAACTCCATTGCTAACAATTCCTTTCCCCCAGGAAACTTATATTAGGTCAGAGAGAGCACCGCGTTAAAGCTTATCGTGTACAGCCAGCTTACAAGTTCCCCTTCGCTATCTACTATCTTTTGTATAAACAGCTACGTCTTGTTTATTTGCTCTCGTATTTCGCAACTTACTAGAGTGGCCATTTGTTAAATTAAAATCGGTACGTATCTACTGTTTGTTTGTGTTGCGTTGATGCGACTATTTTTTTTTGTTTGCACCTATAGCTACTGACAGTTTTGTAAGTGACCAGTATTTTTTTAATGATTATCCCATCTGTGTTATTCGTTTGCGCCGGTAGGGTTTAAGGGGTAATGCCTCTTGCTGCTGGTGCCTCGCCAGCGTAAACTGCTAGCGCAGGCGAGGTTACCATTCCATTATCATATATTAAAAAAAGTACCTAGTCGTGACAAAGTCATAAGTAAGATACTGCTCTGTAAAAAAATAGCGTTTTCAAATATTTTAATTTGTTGAATTTGGAACGTGGATTCGTGGTGCTATAAATAAATTTTGGTTCACTACAAGTAGTATTTTGCAAAGAAAAACAGCACTTTCTCTACAAAATGTATTTGGTTGTAAATAAAAAAAAAAATTAAATAGATTATTGTAGTTTACTTCATTTGTTTTCTTACTTCTGAAACCACTCGTATGTAGCAGCGAGCAAAAAGATAGTCTATGTATCCAACTAGTACGAGCGACATCAAATGGATAACCTTTTTTTCTTCATCAAAGTTCAGCGGAATTCGATATATAGATATCAGTGCGCTGCCAATATTACCCACGCCTAGTTTATATTATCTATATTAAAACATAGTTGTTGTTAGAAATAGTTTTACTGAATTCCAGGGACCTTGGGGTATATCTAAATATAGCACGAGTTACCCCGAAGCCATCTGTGGCCAAACCACCGCCATTACTTAGCTGTAGAGGAAAGAAAATATAAAATATAACAAATATTATATTTATAAGAAAATTCTTTTATTATTAGACAAAAAACAAGTCAACTTAGTCGTCAAGCAAACTCTTGTTTCAGTAAACT